TGGGAAGAAAAATCTATAATAAATGAAAAGGCCAACGAGCAGGAGGGCTGCACAGGAGGAGGACCCTGGTGTCAGAAGACGCTGGAGAGGTGGACGGGGCTGGGTGGGGCACGGCCAGGAAGGCCGAGTTAGTCTTTCTAGGTTCTTCCATGCTTTCTTGCTCACTCCCTCTTCCACCAGATTCTCTCTTTAACCCTCTCCCACCCCATTTTTCCCCTCCATGCATAAGTCCTCATTGCTTCACAGGTAAACAATTAAAATAACCCCTTGCCACCTTCAAATCCATCTTCTGCCCTACAATCTTAAGCAGTGTTTCTAACACATAAATCGGCTTAAGTTGGTCCTCAGGATAAAATCCTCCCCTGGCTGCCCCGAGGTCGGGGAAAGCCCTGCTCAGCTTCCTCTCCTGTTAGTCCCCCTCACATTCACCCCACTCCTCCTCTCCACCTTTGTTAGACTTCTCTCAGCTCGCAGAGATGATGGCTGCAGGTGCTTTGGTCCTGCTTTGCCTGCTGAAGTCCTGCTCACGTCAGGGGTTCCTCTCCTGGGAAGCTACCCCACTCACTCAAGCCAGCTTCCTGGCCCCTCTTTGATATCCCCCTTTGCCCGGCAGGGGCTCACACTGTTTCCAACCTTCCTCTCCCTGGCTTGTTTACATACAGATCCATGCTAGACTGCGACCTCCTCCACGGAGGAGTCTGGGGCTTATTCATCTTTGTCCCTCTTGTGCCACAGGGTGGGGCATATAGTAGATGTTTAATAAGTATTTCTTGAAGACCTGGTGATGAAAGAGTGACATGGTACAAGCACACGGTTAGAAATGGAGCTCCAGCCTCAGCCTCCTGAGTAGCTGGGATTGCAGGCACGCGCCGTCATGCCCACCTAATTTTTTGTATTTTTAGTTGAGACAGGGTTTCACAATGTTGACCAGGATAGTGTCGATCTCTTGACCTCGTGATCCACCTGCCTCGGCCTCCCAAAGTGCCTGAACCCAGGAGGCGGAGGTTGCGGTGAGCTGAGATCGCGCCATTGCACTCCAGCCTGGGTAACAAGAGCGAAACTCTGTCTCAAAAAAAAAAAAAAAAGAAAGAAAGAAATGGAGCTCCATCCAGGGGTCTCTTCGTGAAGAAGTCTGGCTTCCAGGAACTCCATGGACTGTCTGGTCCAGATTGTACTGATAACTGAACACAGGCCTCAGGGCTGCCTGCCCTGCCCCTGCCTGCCACGGCCATCCATCTAGAAGGACGGGTGAATATAGGGTGGGTGGAGTCAAGCCGAAATAGGTCTAGCCTTCTAGCCCAGTGGTTCCCAAACTTTAGTGTGCACCAGAATCACCTAGAGGGCTCTAGATTGCTGGGCTCCACCACCAGTGTTTCTGATTCAGTCAGTCTGGCATGGAGTCCAAGAATCTGCATCTCTAACAGGTTGCCAGGAGATGTTGATGGTGTGCTGGTTTGGGGACTACTGTTTGAGAATCTCTGTTCTAGCGAAAAGATTTGCTCTAAGTATGATTACTTTCTACCATGTTGGGGAAAGAGAGAGGGAGCGTTTTGCTTAGGTTTGGTTTTGTAGATTTTTAAGAACAATGAGTCTGAGCTTAATGTGGATAGAAGTATTAGATTCTGCAAGCTTGCCTCTTCCCCCAACTCCTGGCTTTCCCACAAAGTGGTTCTGTATTCCTTCATCAGCCACTCAGCAAATATGTTTTGAATGTGTAGTATGTATATGTCAACATATACAGTGGAGTTGTTGATATCAAGATGAAATTGATATGAAACTGTCCTTAAGAGAGGTCCTTCAGTGCAGACATAGCCATAATTCAAGGAGTCTAGAGGAGAAATGCCTGCTCTGAATGGTGGTGAGTTTCCTATCAGTGGTGTCCAGAACAGGCTTCTAGAGTTAATGGGAATAAAACATTTCTCTAGATACACCAAATGACCATTAAGATCCAGAAATTGTGTGATTAAGCAACAGTGATGATTGACATAACAAAATGGCAAAAATGAAATGCTATGAGTTTAAACTGGGGATCTACAGAGGCGGCTGAGGCCTCCTTGTATAAATACTGATATCAATATCATTATTTTTAATAAACGTTTATTTTTTACTAACAGTATGCTTGGCGACTAAATGGATTTATATGCAATGACCCCATAATTTGCTGTATATTAACTTCAGATCATCTAAAAGGTTAAATAGAAAAAGCCACAAGCAAACTCGGAGTGCACCTCCGGGGCCTTTTTTGGGTCCGGCTTACTGCGTCACATGGAATTGAGATGCATAACATCATTTTATTTTATTTTTTGAAATATTTAGGAGAGAGAAGAAGAGAGAATATATGAATGTAAGCGGTCAATGATAGGCCTGTTTATTTTAATTTTTTATTATTTTAGATTCAGGTTTGTTACATGCCTATATTGCATAATGTTAAGATTTGGGCTTCTATTAAACCCGTCACCCAGATAGTGAACATACTACCCAATAGGTAGTTTTTCAAGTCTTGCCCTCTTCCTTCCCTTCCCCCTTTTGGAGTCTGCTGTTTCCATCTTTATGCCTTTGTGTACCCAGTGTTTAGTATATACCGTGGAATATTACACTGCCATAAAAAAGAACAGAATCATATCCTTTGCACATGGATGCAGCTGGAGGCCGTTATCCTTAGTGAATTAATGCAGAAACAGAAAATCAAATACCATACGTTTTCACTTATAAGTGGGAGCTAAACATTGGGCCTTGAATTTATAGTCACTAGGTCACCAACTTGAATTTCAAACTCTCATCTGGCCTTATCAAGGAAGTCCAACCAATTGCCAGATTTTATAATATGAGGCAAAGGTCAAAGTCCCTCTTTTTAGGAAGGTCCAGTAATTAAGATGTGGCAAACAATGCTGACAGCCCTTGCCCCTCACTTACCATTTATTGAGCATCCATTATGTGCTGGGTATTGAGAGAGCCACTTTACAAATGCTATTTATAATCCCTTTACCCATCCTTCAAGATAAGTACTGTTATCCTCATTTTCAGATAAAAGAAAAGGCACAGAGCTACGGTTTGTCCAATTTCACGCAGCAAAACTCTTCAGTTCATTTTTAGAGATCAACATGACCATAAAATTGAAACCTGATAAAAGATAGTCCAAAAATTGTAGATTGAGCTCAAGTCTTAGCACAGATTCAAGAAGCACTATTAGAAAACAGGATGCAGCAGTATATCAAATGAATAATATACTCTGATCAAATGGAGTGCATTCTAGGAATGCAAGAATGGTTCAATAATTGGAAATATTAGGAAATCAACATAATTTATCTTAGCAACAAACTAAAGGAGAGTCATATTACAGTAGCTGCTGAAAGGGTAGTTGATAAATTCTCCTGTAATAAAACTCTGTGACAGGAATAAGAGGAACTACTTACATTTGGTAAAGACTAAAAATTAGCCAGATACATCATTCTAAACAGCGAAGTGCTGAATCTGCTCCATTAGAAATGCTTACTTTTGCCATTTAAAAATATTGTTTTGGTGATTCTTATAAATGATCTAAGCTAAGATAAAAATCATCTATGTAAATATGGGGAAGAAGAAATGACATTATCTTGGCCAATGTTTGTCTACTGAAAAATCCCGAGAGAACCTGGTAGAAAGAGAAACTCTATCAGAAGTAATAAAGGTAATGGATAAGATGACTGGCCAACAGCACTTCTCTATACTCTAAGGACCAGCCAGTGAACCTCAGCAGTTGGAACTGGGATTTGAACTTAGGTCAGATGCTGAAGTTGTGCTCTTCCCACCTTGTGAAGCATTTATGCTTTCTTGTAGGACTCAGTCATGTCAGCACAAGGGAGAAGTCTTTTAGACTTTGTAACTTTCAAGCACTCCAGCAGAGCAGGTTGGTTTGCTCTGATGGGGATCCAGGCTGGGGGCAAGTGTAGAAGGTTGGCATGGGTGTTTCACCGTGAAGACTCTCGAGGTTTCTGCTACCAGCAATGCTCTCTCCCCGCAGGGGCTGAGATAAGAAGTCTATGCGGGGAGCTCGAGGGTGATAGTGTGGCCTTGAGCCATTTAGCCAGACTTCTGCATCCCAGGAACTGAGCATCTAACTAACAGAACTGCTGCCCTTTCTTCTTGGCTCCAAGAAGCCAGATTTCGATTGCTCGCTGCCCTTCGCCCAAACTGCCCCACTTGAGAGGTAGTACTTGTGAGAGCACCTTTTACAGATTTGGCTGCCCTGGGGCATCAGGGGCACAAGCTCTTGGTGACTACACCCACCAAGGATGCCTTAACTCCATGGCGTTCATGGTGTAAGTGGAGCATGTGTTTCTGGAACAAAATCACTGGGTGAGACATCAAAAGTATTATCCAGATAAAACTTTTCTAGTGTTTGCAGTGGCCAACCATGGTGGGGTGGAGTGGTGGAAGGGACAGTGCACAGGAACCCAGGAGACATGGGTTCTGGTGGCTCTGCCAACTAGCTGTGTGTTCCTGGGCAAGTCACCTGGTGTTGCTGGGTCTCACTTGCCTCATCTGTGTCATGGGATGTAGGATTGGGTAGATTCCCAGGGCCCTTTGAATTCAACATCCTAACAATTACGCTTACAACGTGCCTGACACTGTTTTAAGTACTTTGCATAGAGATTAACTTATTACAATAACCCTATGAGGTAAGTACTGTTATTATTCCCATTTTAGCTCTGAGGAAACTGAGGCACAGAGTGGTCAAGTGACTTGCCCTGGGTCTCACAGCTAGAAATGGTGGAGTGCTTACACAGCACTCCAACGTAAAACTTCATGTTTTACTTTTACAGTTTTCCTTCCATGAGCCGTGTTATGAGGGTGTTGGTTCTGCTGGGTAGGGGAAAGGGGTTTTGGGGTGGGAGACAGTTTTAAGGGAAGCCTGGCTCTGGGGTGGATGGATGGGGGTCACTGCATGGGAGAATGATAGTGGTGTCTGCACGGGCTGCTAATGTTTGCACCTCTCCCTTTCTTCCTCTTTTCCTCTCTAGTCTGTGGCAAGCGCTACAAGAACCGGCCGGGGCTCAGCTACCACTACGCTCACACTCACCTGGCCAGCGAGGAGGGGGATGAAGCCCAAGACCAGGAGACTCGGTCCCCGCCCAACCACAGAAATGAGAACCACAGGCGTGAGTGCCTACTTGTTAGGTTGGGGCAGTGAAGAAGTGGGGTAGGCAGGCTGGGGAGTGTCCTTTGTTCCTTTTTCTCACCGCTGGCATCTTCTGGTAGCAACTGCTGAGTGGTCTCAATATACTGGAGTGTGTTGGCTCTTTCAGCCAGCCAGCCAGCTGCCCCGCAGCTCAGCCCAACCCCAGGCTTAGCAAGAACAGGGCTCACACACCCGGCTCTGCAACAAGAGGGAGGAAGGTGAGTATTCAGCAGAAGAGAAAGCCCTTACCTGGCCACCGTCAGATGCCAGACCCACAGCTCTTGTTCCTCAGCTCCTGAAGAGCCACTCAGACTGGGATGGGCATAGCTCTTGGGTGTGTCAGTTCAGACAGACGTTCAAAATGCCTGCTTGCTCACTAAGAGCCTTAGAGTATTCTTAATTATTGCTGTGGTTTTGTTGTAGTGGGGAAGGGGTCACAGTTTTGATATAGGGCTCTCCTGCCTTAGAAACGCTGCCTGGAGAACCCATGTTCTTTGCGTCAGCACTCAAATGGCAAATGTGATCTGCATGGATTTGTTGTTTGGGATGTTGGGCTCTTAAGACCCAAAATGATCCTGAAGATTCGTGTTTCCATTTCTGTTCTTTCCTACCTGAACTTCCACGTATGAATTAGCGAACCCAAAGGGGCTTAGCATTTTCCACTTGGCTTTCCTCTAGAACATCCCTTGTGGTCTCTGCGCCTGCAGAAATCTCAGCATGGAAATGGGATACTGAAATCTTTAGAGCCTGCTTGAAGATGTGGACCACACTGAGATCTCACAGTGAAGGATATTTGTGGACAGGCCATATGTTTTTCATTTTGTTCAGACAAAAGTGTTGGTGGCAGGTATTCTGAAAGCGTACAACTCAAAATGCAGTGAAAGGGCTCAGACCTTTCAAAGTACTCAGACTCTAGGATTCGAGGATACATGTTAGTCATCAACTTAGTCAACCCACGTCCACTGGCCACCTTCACCAAATATTTGAAGTAATGAACACACCTACGGCCAAGACCATTCTTCGTATTAGTGTGGGGTCTCCCTTAACCTCCACTCCACTTTCCCCCTGTAACACTACCTTCTTTATGGGTTTGCTAGGGCTCTCATAACAAAATCCCACAGATAGGGTGGCTTAAACCACAGAAATTAATTTTCTCGCAGTTCTGGAGCCTGGAGGCCCAAGGTCACGGCGCTGGCAGGGCTGATTTCCTCCGCTTGGAGTGCAGATGCCACCCTCTCACTGTCCCCTCGCACAATTGTCTTTCTGCACACGTATGCCCTGGCATCTGCTTTTGTGTCCACATTTCCTCTTCTCATAAGGACACCAGCAGGTCGGATACCAGAGTCTATCCTAACAGGCTCATTTTAACTTTACCTCTTTAAGGACCTCTTTAAGGACTCTACCTCCAAACCTAGTCACCGTCTGAGATACCATGGGTTATGCTTTCAACGTAGGAATTTGGGAGTGTGGAGGGTATGCAATTCAGCCTTTGGCATCTTCTCGAATTTTTGCTCACTTCCAAGGTGCAAGCCTTTAGTGTGACAGACCCTTGCCCTCTCACCTGCTATCGTCATCTGGACAGAACCTGAACAGCAGAGCAGGAGGTGCCCCCCGCACCTTGCCCGCCTCTCCTCGCCAGGGCCTGAGGAGCTCCAACACTGAGGCCTTCTCTCTGGGAAGAGTTGTCCTTGGTCCACTCACCCTTCTCTTTCCAAAAGGAAAAGATACTGACCTGTACGGAGGCAGCCAATATTTGCATTTCCCCGTCTTTCCTCTTTTCCCTGATCTAAGTGACCAAGAGGTCGGACAGAGCTAGCTATTGTCTCCTACCACGAGGAGGCCGAGAATAATTGCCTTGGATTTTGGTCGCTCTCCGAAAAGTGTTTCTTCGCCATTGTTGTGCTCTCTAAAGTGTGTATTAGCTTGGTATTATTTCTCACTCCCCTGTGCTAGCTTAACTCTTTATATCTCTTCTCAAATGTCAGGCCGTTTTGTTCCTTTATTCATGCTCTGGGGTTTGGAATGCCTCTTGTCTGTGTCTCATTTTCCTTGGTTCTCCTGTAGCCTCATTATGAAAGGGGTTTGTGTGTGGTGTGCGCGCGTGTGTGCACATGTGTGTGCATCTGTGTCTGCATGTGTGTTTGTGCACATGTGTGTGCATGTGCATGCATGTGCATGTGTTCGTGCATGTGTATGCATGTGCACATGTGTGCAGGTGTGTGTGCAGTGGGAGTGTGTGGAGAGCGTGTATGTGTGCACGTGTGTGTGTGCATATGTGTGCATGTGTGCATGTGTGTGCGTGTGCCTGGTGTTTGTGACCGCAGCACGGAGAGGTGTGCTGCAGACCCTCAGTAGAAGGAGGCAGTCTCCCTAGCGACCCCTGTGGTTCCCTCTGGATTGGTTGACTTCTGAGACCAGCACTCGGGTGTGGATCTTCTCATGCGCCCTCGTGGGCAGGGTGTTTGGCCTTCTTGGGTCCTCCCCTTGAGGCCACATGGCCTTGCTCGGGAAGGAAGGTATGCCTGTCTCCCACATCCTACATGGGACGTCTGCCTAGGAAATCTCACGGGTGGCTTGTTCTCACCTCTGTGGGCTTGTCACTGAGCAGCATGCACTCCAACTCCTCCCTCCCCCTTTTCTCTTTCTCACCTCGCTGTTGAGAAAGTGGGTTCTTCAAAAAGGATCATTTGCCTGGCCAAGGGTTTAAAACCTCCTAGAAAAGAATAGGTATTCCCAGGCGGATCCAGGCCTCACATGAAGAAGTTTCCAGAACCCTCACAAACACCTTTTCAACAACATCTCCTCACCGCACCCTCCCCCAAAACTCTGTGATTAACCCAGTTTTGCTAGTGGGGAAGGTGCAGCAGAAAGGCCCTTAGTGCCTGCAGAAGCCATTCTTCTCCCTACCCCCAATTTCTCTGGACAAACCCATGAGGTGGCTGCTCATCCGGGTTCTCTGCACCCCACACACCACTGACTTGCTTGCCGCCCAGAATGTGTGCTCTGTTCCCTCCCCGCTGGTGAGCAGCCCCCCCACTATTTTCTTGTGAGCACTAATTGCCAGCATCATTAATACCCAGTCATTAGCTGCTCCCACTGTTTGGTGGTAGGGGGTGGCTCCCATCCATCCTGCCCCTAAATGCCACTGGGGCTGTGTGCTGAATTGGATGTGACAGCTCAGCAGCATCCTAAGGTCTCAGCTCCATGATCCTCCCTTGGCGAGGCTTTTGGAGGGGAGGGGCAGGTAGGAGAGCTTAATCCAAGAGGCTAATCTGCAGCTCCCCCAGGAGAAGGTCTGGACACCAGTGAAGTGGAAATGCTGACTTTTTCCCCCTTTAGCAGAACTGCAGGGTGACCCAAGCTGCATGTGAGCAGACGCCTAATGGAAAAACAGCCTTACAGACACAGGGGTTTGCAGGGCCAAGGGCAGCTGGGCTCACACCACCTGCAGCAGTAGCGACCTTTTGACTTTGGTCCTCCTGCTGTCGCTTGCTCCATCGGCCCCCAACTGTGTCTTCAGCAGAGCCCATGTCTCATCCTGAGCCTGCTGCTGCTGAAAGGGCAGAGTGGCCTGCTGGAGCCAGCACTGACCTTCCCCGCCCCCGCCCATGCTGCCCCGGGCTGCAAGCTCAGCAGTCCACTGCCACTCCTGATCGCCTGGGCCCCCAGCCGACGCTCTCACGCCTTTGTTTCTCCCTTCATCTCTCATTTTCTCCTGAGTATACGCTTCTTGTGTTTCCTCTGGATTTGTCCCCTTTCCTGTGTGCCCCTGCCTCTGCCTCAACTACAGACAGCCAGGGATGCTTGGAGCTCAAATACTCCCCTTTGGGAGGTCGTGTTTACTGATGGGGTCCTTCGCACGTGACTGCATCTCATCCTCTCCCTGCATGAGGCTGGATGCCTCTTCTCCCTCCATTTCTTTTTACCACCTTTTTGCATATGAAATAAATTACCATGTATGTACACACAAACACACACATAGATATACACATGCATGAATAAAAGGAGGGCAGCTGGGGAGGATAGGACTCTGAAGGATGCCCTCAGAAGCATGCCATTGTGACTCCTGAAATGCAGTGTTGGTAGGGAGCCCCAGTGGGACAGGGTAGCAGAAAGAGCTCTGGATTAGAATTCAAACCCCCCTTAATATAGGCTCACGATGTTAAACTCTTTGAATTTCTTTTTAACCTTCTCTGCACAGTGGGAATTGATTATAGATGATGTTTTCAAGGTACTTTGTAGTGAGGATAGGCATTTATGAAGTCCTGGACCTGGATGAAAAAACTGTGTAAATAAATTCAGTCTAATTCATCCATCCATTTGCCATCCATCCATCCATCCATCCAGCCATCCATCCATCCCATTCGTCCATCCATCCATCCACTTAATAACCATGCATTGAACACTGTCTATATGCTGGGACTAGGAAGGACAGGCATGTAAATAGGACTCAGCCCCTATCCTTGAGCTCACAGTCTTGAGCGGGAGTGTGCCATGGGTGTGTCCAGAACTGTGAGGGAGCTCAGGACTCAAGGGCACAGGGTACTTTCTAAGCCTTAGGGCAGTGGTGTTCCAAGTGTGGCATTAGCATCACTGGGGACCTTATTGAAAATGTAGATTCTCAGGTTCTACCGGATCTCCTAAGACAGAGACTCCAAAGATGGGGGCCAGCAGTCTGGGTTTTACAAAGCTCTCCAGTGCACACTAAGTGCACACTAAAGCTTTAGGACCACTGCATTAGGGGATTTGCAAAGGCTTCACTGAGGAGGTGATATTCAAGTTAGCTCTTGGTGAATGAGGAAGAATTTCTTAGGAGGGAGAGGGCTTCCCAGGTAGAGGGAACTATTCATCCATGAAATAGCAGACAGACAGATATGAAATAGCAAGGCACATTCAGACAATTGGAAATCATTGGGTCTGACAGTAATGCTGGATTTAGGGGATGCAGAGGAAAGGTAGAAATGTACTCAGGGCCCACAG